CCCGTTACTTATTCCTTCTCCTTGTCTGTCGCCATTTTCTATCGCGATAGCAAGCGCTTTCTCGTGGTGTTCCTTAGCCTTCAGATATTCGCCAAGGGAATATAACACAACTCCGAGGCTCCCCTTAATTCTTCCTTCTTCTTTTTTGTCGCTAATTTCTATCGCGATGGCAAGTGCTTTCTCGTGATATTCTTTAGCCTTCTGATATTCGCCGAGGGAATCAAACACAACCCCGAGGTTCCCGTTGCTTCTTCCTTCTCCTCGTTTGTGGCCAATTTCTATTGCGATGGCAAGTGCTTTCTCGTGATATTCTTTAGCCTTCTGATATTCGCAGAGGGAATCAAACACAGCTCCAAGGTTCCCATTGCTTATTCCTTCTCTTCGTTTGTGGCCAATTTCTATTGCGATCGTAAGTGCTTTCTCGTGATATTCTTTAGCCTTCTTGTATTCGCCACGGGATTGAAACATAACTCCGAGGTTCTCGTTGCTTGTTCCTTCACCTAGTTTGTCGCCAATTTCTATCGCGATGGCAAGTGCTTTCTCGTGATATTCTTTAGCTTTCTGATATTCGCCGAGGGAATCAAACACAGCTCCAAGGTTCCCGTTAATTAATCCTTCTCTTCGTTTGTCGCCAATTTCTATCGCGATAGCAAGTGCTTTCTCGTGGTGTTCCTTAGCCTTCGGATATTCGCCAAGGGAATTAAACACAACTCCGAGGTTCCCCTTACTTCTTCCCTCTCCTTTTTTGTCGCCAATTTCTATCGCGATGGCAAGTGCTTTCTCGTGAAATTCTTTAGCCTTCTGATGTTTGCCAAGGAATTGACACATAGCTCCAAGGTTTTTATTAATTATTTCTTCTCCTTGTCTGTCGCCAATTTCTATCGCGATGGCAAGTGCTTTCTCGTAATATTCGTTGGCCTTCTGATATTGGCCAATAGATTGAAACGCAGTTCCAATGTTCCCGTTACTTATTCCTTCCCCTTCTCTGTCGCCAATTTCTATCGCGATAGCAAGTGCTTTCTCGTGGTGTTCCTTAGCCTTCGGATATTCGCCAAGGGAATCAAACACAACTCCGAGGTTCCCCTTAATTCTTCCTTCTTCTTTTTTGTCGCCAATTTCTATCGCGATGGTAAGTGCTTTCTCGTGAAATTCTTTAGCCTTCTGATGTTTTCCAAGGAATTGACACATAGCTCCAAGGTTTTTATTAATTATTTCTTCTCCTTGTCTGTCGCCAATTTCTATCGCGATGGCAAGTGCTTTCTCGTAATATTCGTTAGCCTTCTGATATTGGCCAATGGATTGAAACGCAGTTCCAATGTTCCCGTTACTTATTCCTTCCCCTTGTCTGTCGCCAATTTCTATCGCGATAGCAAGTGCTTTCTCGTGGTGTTCCCTAGCCTTCGGATATTCGCCAAGGCATTGAAACACAGTACCAATGTTCCCGTTAATTCTTCCTTCTTCTTTTTTGTCGCCAATTTCTATCGCGATGGCAAGTGCT